CTTTAGTTCGTCGCCCTGAAGGCCCAATTCTTTACCAGTGGCTACCCATTCCGCCATTTTTGACATGCAGATGTATATAATGCTCCTATACAAATACAACAATTACAAATACAATCTTATCTCTTGTTAGTAAGAAATATGTTTAAAAAATATCACACCTAATAGCAATCCAACCACTAACAAAATCAATTTGTGATGTATAATCACTCTGCTACACCAAGTAGTGCTTTATCTACTCTGGAAAAAACTAATCAGGCTTCTAACTCAATTATATCATTTTTTTTAAAAATCACTATGGCTCTAATATATTCTAACCAATATTTATTCTACGAATCACCCTTTGCCCTAGAACACACTATGTATATGCAAAGCAATGATATTCAGTCTCAATTAATCTGCATCATAATACTCCAGTAACTCAGTAATCAACACACTTATAACATGTAACGGTTATTTTTATTTTTAAACTAATTTAATTAATTTCCTTGAATGAATCCACGGTTGATCTTTTGATTGTAGCTCATAGCCTATTAATGTCAATTCTTTAGTGTTGAAGACTACACGTCGTAATTCTTGTTAAGGATTCGTTCTGGAAGTAACATTATAATTATTGTGCACACTGTTTATTATGCGCTGAATGTGGGTGTCACTTTGAAAAAATTTCTGGAAATTGTCTATGTGCCGAATACGGGTGTCACTTTCAACAATTCCTCTAAATAGTCTATGCGCCGAATACGGGTGTCACTGAAATAATTCATGGAAATAGTAAATTCGTTAGGTCTAAAGTACTGTACAAATTTGCTGGAAACTGTTCTAACGTACCTTTCGCTCCATTTGCAGCTTTGCTGTTAGTATAGTTGTGGACCGTCACTCATTCTGTGTCGCAGATATTCAAACTTCATTACCGTGCTGGCTAAAGGCTGCCTCAGATATATGGACAGGATATAAGTTGTCACAAATATTCCCTATGTATTCTAGTGCTGACTAATGTTGATCAGCTTTGCTGCATCCTTTTAACACATTTGCGCTATATCAGTACGCTCAGCGATCACTGTAATTCATAATCTGTTGTACCTAGCAAACAATGTTGTAAACCACCGATAAACGTCTCTGTAGACCAATCTTATATCACATTACCCAGCGACATGTACATCAGTCACAGCTTGAAATAACGTTTTTGCTACTTCACTAACTACAGTTGTTATGATAAACACTTGTGAAGGCTAACCTTATCTGTCACATTAACCATTGGTAAATTCAACCGTCCCCACAAAAGAAATACCGTCCTTGGAACTTCTCTAACATTTTCTTTAAATAAATTTTGACAGAGCAACTGATCTCATTATGGACGATAGATGGAACGCGGCCTTGACCCAGTAGGCCTCTTACGTTGAAACTTTTTTGCCCTATTTTTTGCCGTCCAGTTCAAGTGGTCCAACCAGCTGAATTTCCAGTCGCTGTTCTGACCATCTCCCGTCGTTGCTTGCTTAGGTGGAAATTTTCAGTCGTTTTTTGTCCCAGATGTTCCGTTTTTTGAGCTTCCAACTTGCATTGTGCTCTGCTGGGGGTTTGATTCTATTCGGCACATTGCTGTATTGACGTACACATAATAGCTAGAACACACCAGACGACGAACGTTCAGTTATTGAACTTTATTCACTGTTACAAACTTCTCACTAACTTAGCGCATTCTTTCGTCCTCGTGGCCGCAATGCATGGCTGATTTCTGATGACCCGGCCAACTCTCTCACATGGTGATTCGCTCCACTCGTATCTCTCGGATCATACATCTGTATCATCCTAATGTATTGTACCTGGTATTAATGGTGAAATTGGCAATCAGGAAAACATTCATCTCTACTCTCGAACAAGTACACACTGTTATACGTTCTCCATTCTCGTCAGGTGTTCTCTCGCATACGACCGCACACAACCAGATCCGAACTTCAACTGTCTTAATATCCTCTCTGGTTTCACGTCTTCCGTTCCAGTCTCACGCTTTCCTCGTATCCCTTTTCACTCACCACGGGATACTCGAGACCCGCTTATCTCGTTTTACTGTTGTATGACTGGTCCTCTGACCTTGTCCTCCCCATCGGGAACTCTCTGGGATTTCCCCGGAAATTCACTACATTACACCTCTCTTGACTGGTTAGTACAGTATTACTTCATTGTGGATTTTTAAAGCAGCATGTTGTTTTCAGTGTGTGTTCCTAATCAGTCTAATGTCTTTCCCAGCAATTTGTGTATTTGTAAGAATTTTTATCGGTTTAAAGTGTCTTACTTTATCAAAAGCCTGTGTAACTCAATAAAGCAGGGATACATATTTTTTTTTTACTTTCACTGAACGCTTTGTTATTGTTCTCTGGGGGTATACAGCATTTTTTGTACTCTTGCCATCTACGAACCCACATTGCTCTTCGGCTATATCTAGTTGTATTTCCTTCTTAATACCTCGCAGGATGATTGTTCGTAAAAACAAAAATATGGTAAAAATCTTCTTAGTAAAATAATGATGAGATTAATAATTGTGCACTTAATCACTATTTAAGCTCTTTAAGCCTCCATGGCTCCCTAGAAACTTAAAAAGGCAGCAAGACCCACTAATGATTTCTATGTGTGCAGGGATTAAACAATTGCCTGGTTGCCTGGATACGAATACTGAATTTTGACACTGTGAGGTGATGATCTGTCCAATATTCGGCCCCGCATATGGACTTGGTCATCCGATCATCCTGCCTGCGCCCCCCCCCCCCCCCACATTACATAAGGCTGTAGATATATACAAATTGACAGAGACATGTATCATTTAAACTGTAACAAGTGCATTCTCGATTTGATCCCGAGACCAGTTTAGACTATTTCCTAACTCTATAACACAGTCTGTACAGAGCACCTTTTATGCCCATGCAAAATGATCTCTTTCTTGACCTGCCTTATTTGCTCGAAAAGAACAGAAACGTCAACACAGGCTGGAACACAGAAAGCGGTGCAAGCTGCAGTAATCTGTCGGAATTACACGTGATGTCATGTTTGGTATAAGCTGCGCAACTTTAGGCATTAACAGAGAATATGTAGCATCAACTACCTTTAAACGGGTAGCTCGGTAATATCTAATTAAGACCTGACTAAAATCAGCTAAGTATTTAAAAATTAATATACAAATGTGTAAGGGACCGTTTTCACTCCGCTGGCCCATCTGGTATGTGATGCTACTACTCATAGTGTTATAGACCAGTCGGCACTCGTTTTGTGATATGGTCAACATCGTGCTAGCCTCCTTCACCTCCCCTGACATTATCTGGTTGGGTGTACTTGGGAGGCAAGGTAACAATTTGGGGAAGGGAAAGGGGGGGGGGGGGGTCCGCCACGTTGCGGATTCTACCCACCAGGCCGACAGAAGAGAGTCCAGCCACTATGCTACCGCAGCTTCGAATATTGACTGATGAACACAGTTAAAAGCCAATCATTCAAGGTGTCTCGTGGGTTCAAATCCGCATTGTGTCGAGTTGTTTTCAAGCTTGCTCTTAGCTCCTAAGTCGACCCAGCCTTTGTCGCTGCGATGTTTACCACATCACACATTGATATGATTATTGGTCAAACAAAAAAGATAGTATAGCCTCAAATGCCCAATGCGCCACTGGCGTGTAACTTTAAAAAAAACATACTTTATTGGGGGGGGGGGGTGTGGGGGGGGGGGGGCTGTAAGTAAAGTTGAGTACCCATTCCGTAATTTTAGCAATGTATTCTGTTTATTATGATAGCCTTAATATTTCTAAACCCCCCGCCCCCCGAACGACAGTCGTTTAGTAATCTGATCAAAATCACCCTGGATCTTCTTCTTCTTCACTTCCTCTTTTACCGCTTTATATTCAAATATGCTTTGAATAAGATGTCTCTTTGTGCTGATTGGGATTGTCTTATGCTGTAATAGGGGTGCTAGCTGTCCCAATACTTGGTTTGCTTTACTGCATCTAATGTTAATTTCTTTATCCAATTTCCCATCTTCGGTAAATGTAGTTCCCAGATATTTAAACTCAGATGCTTGTTTAATGCCTTTGTACTCTATTGCTATGTTCAGATCTGTCTTCTTTTTTCCTATTGACATTACTTCTGTCTTTTCAGTGTTGATTCTCATATTATTTGTTTTACATTCTTCATTCATGGTTGTTAGATGTTGTTGCCATTTACATAATTTACTGTGGTTTAGGATTTGGGAACGCAGTATCGTATTCCCAGCATATCGAAATTAGCTACCATCGAATGTTTTACAGGCACTTTTGCATTAATTTTGACACATGAGCGTTCACAGGGAAAATAAAAATTACTGAAAGTAAACTTGACTTATATAACATCTAACAGCCCATGAATGTTGATAGTTGTTAGCGAAGTCTCGAAAAGTGTATGCAACTATCTATTAAGATCCAAATCTTTACCGAAGAAGTGGTTTATAATCATTGCTGTCGCTACTAAAAAAAAAAAAAAAATTTTGAAACATTCCTATTAGAAGATTACTCTAGTAATTTATACAGCCAGCAGTAGATACGAGTTTTTTTTCCTCTAATATTCTTATCTACATTCTCTAGGTTTCCATATTCTTTTTGAAAACCTCACCTTCACAGCCTCATCCTTCTCCCCAGTTTCAATATTCACTGTCTAGCATTGTCGAGGCAAACATGTTCCTCCAAAGTTTCACTATTCATTGTCTAGCATTGTTGAGGCAAACGTGTTCCTCCAAAGCTAGTCCTCTCTTTCATTACAATGAATAAGTACGAATTTCGATCTGACCACTGCAGCTTTTAATGTTTTATATTGTCTAGTGTTTTCTATTATTTCTACTTCTACATGTACCCAACAATGCCTGGGAGCCTTTGTATTCAAGTATTTCCCAACAATCGATAAATATAAAACATTCCCTATTTGTATAAAGTATACATATATACGGTGTTACTGATCATCTTTTTTACGCAAATCGTGAAAACATTTATTATAATTTACAG